CATGGCGATAAAGCTATAGACCTCTTCAATCCATAGAGGAGAACAAACAGCTTTGAAGAGAGCCAGAGAGCCATGAAAAGCCAAATCACTCGGCCTTATAACTTCATAAAGCGACTAAAATTAATGAATATGCCTTTTTTTTTAAATGTTCTTTGCCATTTGTTTTAATAGTTAAATGCAAATTTCTCATTCACTCAAGCAGACAAGTATGTTTGCTTTTCAAAGCAATGCTGTTTTGTATTTATTAGGGCTGCACGATATATCGAAAATATTTAAATATCGCACATGTAAATATCGCGATATGCATATCGCAAGGGCGTACGATATCTGAATAATTTTAATAATAGGCTACTTAAATCAAAACGTTGCAAAAGGTCAAAGTTGTAGTTCGACGCATATAGCAGAGAATTGCTTGACGTTAAAAAGAGTTATTAAGTGCAATAAGTTGCAGAAAACAACTCTTTGCCATCTCGTCTTGCTGTCTGACAGATACTACTGTTTATTTGATCTATTCTTGTAAATTGTGTATTTCTTTTTTTTCTTTTTCTTTCTTTTTTTTTCACTGACTGTTAACTTGCCTTTAATCATGTTTGAACTTTCTCAGACTATAGTTTTTGCTGTGGTATATGAAGTAGTACTTAAAGTGTATGGAAAGCAAAGTCACAATGATATAAAATTAGTGTCATTCATTTTTTTGTCATTCACACTGATGTTAAAATTGCATTTTCTGATTTGTGACATTACTTTTTATGTACTGCTAAAACACTGCTGGTCACTTTCAGAAGTTGTAGTGATTCTTTCTTTTCCAAGAAAGAATGTGAAAAAAATTGGTTATATACTTTTAATTTTTAAATATTTTAAAATATAATTTTAATAGATTTTTCACACTTTAAGCAACATCGTATCGCATATCGAATAAAGAATGAGAATGTGACGTAACGCCGCGTTGAGTTCTGGGAAACTGCTTTGTTTATCCGCCATACTTGCAGGATAGCGCTGGCTTTCCGCTATTGAGTTTAGGGCAGTATTTGATTGTTTGTCGTGATTGTGAAAAATGTCACTAGTGTATATCATTCATACTGCATCGATAATTGCAACAGTAACTCAGATCATCGTTCTGAGAGAAAACTGGACAATGCAATATGTTTTTTTGCCTTTTCTATGTGTAAAAACTCCAAGGGAAGGAGGTCGCGGAGAAGACGCCGAATAGTAAATCTGTTAATGTCACTGATTAAACCCACTGACTCTCACTCAATAAAAGGATCACATTGCTGTGTGTTTTTGAAAGTTTTGATTTGGTTGGTTTAATAGTTAACATTACCTTCTTTGCGAGCACGACTCTCACTCTCACTAGGCTTGTGAATTAGCAGCCTAGTTGAACTTGAACAGGGAACTTTCAAAAATGCTTAAAGTGGCTTAATGTACCAAGACAGTGATAAAGACAAAATTGTAAAGCATATACTATGTGCAGATATATGATGGCTGAAGCAGCAGCGAGCGTCCAGCGGGCGACACTGTTTTCACGCTAATCGGGTAAACACTGTAAACCAGATTCTACAAAACCTAAGAGAGAAATGCAGTGCATATCATGCAGTGCGATAAAATAGCTTCTCTTCCCTGCAAACGATACAATGAAGAATGAATGGTTGTTTAACTTAAAGGCAAAAACAAAACAAAAGATAAGCATTTATCCTTATAGAGAATGAGAAGTAACCATGGGAACGGATAGCGTATCCTGCTAATATGGCGGCGCCTTCCCGAAATGCAATGCGGAGTGAAAAGATCGTGACGTAACTCCTCATTCTCTATATCGCATTTTTTAACAAGGTATCGCGTATCGCATTTTTTTTCAATATCGCACAGCCCTAGTATTTATATAACTGCATAACTGTCACACCTGCAACCACCCATAAAAGGAGCTTGATTATTATTGCAAAGGATGAATCAGCCTATGAATATCAACAGCAGAGTGGAAAGCAGAGTTTGAGCCCTTTGAACAAAAGAGATGGATTGAAAAATGGAAGATTATTGAAGTCTTTCTTTTCTCCCAGGCATGAATCCATTGTGCTGAAACTCCAGGATGTTTCGATACTATCGGGTGACTTGTACTCCCGCGCTGTACAAAAAAAAAGGCTTGACAGACAAAAGACCAGGATACAGTGCTAGAGCTTCTTAATGGAATTCTACTCTATTCAACAGGACTATCGTATTCTCTCAGCCTGATTCTAAGAGAGAATAGAGATCAACTAATCAAAGTGGGCTGTCAGTGTGCCTTCATTTATGTTTGACTGATGAAGGCAAATGAGTAACGATTGATCGTACACTGTAAAATGTTATTAATCTGTGATTCAATAAAATGCTGGAATGACAGAAACGGACACAAAATTGTTTCAAAACTCATATTAGCCACAGCAGACAAGTTTTAGTGGTCTCAGAATAATAATAAATCTCATTCTGGTTTATTTTCCTGCCTTGCAGTCTATCCCAAAATGCTACAAATACTATTAATTCCATTTATTATTTTTATTAATGTAATTTATCAGAAAGTATAAACACTATTAAGAATGAAGCTCTTCAAAATGGTTAAAAATGGTAAAAACTCATGTTTGCTGTAGTGCTAGAATTAAATGTCATTTTTAATA